GATCTCATTCTGATTTTAAGCCTATCTCTAAACTATCAGACCTCCCCGAAACCCGAAACCTTTATACCGAAACCCGAAACCCGAAACCCGAAACCCGGGACCCTTAAACCCGAAACCCGAAACCCGAAACCCGAAACCCGAAAACCCGAAACCCGAAACCCGAAACCCGAAACCCGAAACCCGAAACCCGAAACCCGAAACCCGAAACCCGAAAACCCGAAACCCGAAAACCCGAAACCCGAAAACCCGAAACCCGAAACCCGAAAACCCGAAACCCGAAAACCCGAAAACCCGAAACCCGAAAACCCGAAAACCCGAAAACCCGAAACCCGAAACCCGAAACCCCGAAACCCGAAACCCCGAAACCCGAAACCCGAAGACTTCCTAGGGGGTCACCCATCCTAGATTACTCTCACCCAAGCACGCTTAACTTCGGAGTTCTGATGGGATCCGGTGCATTAGTGCTAGCGTGCTATTTTAATCATTAATTTCTTATATTTCGGTTATGCTTTTTTTTTTTAATTTTACAAAATTGCTTTCAGAAAAATACATATCTTTTTGTTCTTGTTATATTACAAGTAATATGAGTAACTTTGACATTTTATTATGTTTTTGTGCCTTTTTTGTATATGTATTTTGTAATTCTTTTTAAAATTTAAAGATTCATTCTTTTTCGTATTAATTTTTTAATGTTATTTGAATGATTTGATTTTCCCATCAAAAAAAAAAAAGAAAAAAAAATCTAATTTTACAAAAAAAATATGTAGTTTTTCATCTAAATTTTTTTTATGGTATTTAATATTGTTTTATTAAAGTTTAATGAACTGTGACTTTATATATTCTTCTGAATTGATTGCAATTTGTTATATATGTTAAAATCAGATTACATATTTTGTATATTTTTTTATTTATAAGACTTAATTGTCTTCGGAAATTAGAATTGACATGGAATATGCGTCACTTTCCACTAAATATTGAAAAAAAAAAATTAGTAACAGACATTGTGTGTTAATCATAGGATGGGATCCAAAGAATTTTTTTACTTGCAACATCAACCAAACCCTGAAGGAATCACAAAAGGCAGATCGACAATTTTGTTTTATCTCTATCTGCATAACTTGTCAAAAAGAATTTCTATTACATTTAGTCTGCATAATGTAGTTTCTGGTTCGAGCAGAACAACACAGCGCAACGACACCTACATAAAAACTAACTAAAGCACTTACACAGAACACCCAAACTGAAATAAAGCTACTAGACTCATTTTCATCCGAGAATGTGTTTCCCCGCAATTTTGGAAGCCCTTCTTGTCCTTTACACCCATCACTAACAGATGACTCCAAGCACAAACCTGGATTTCCAGCAAATGCCCCTGGAAATCTCCAGTACCCCTGCCTTGTAGGTATAACCCCTGATAGACGGTTATACGATAGATTCAACACTGTCAAGTTCCCAAGCCCTGATATATTTTCTGGTATCTGACCTGAAAATGAATTATGTGACAAATCTAGAACCTTCAGACTCCACATTTTCCCCACAATTACCGGAATTCTACCTTCAAGATAATTATCCGACAAATTTAGGTATTCCAAACCTTGCAATCCAAATAGTCCTGCCGGAATTTCCCCATGCAGTAAGTTATTAGATATATCAATTCCGATTATGGTCAAGATCTCGTACTTGAAGCTCAATTCACTTCTACCGCCAATAATGACAGAAACTTGCAAGTCCAGATCAGTAAAAGACGAAAACGATAGCTGTTTATAATCTCGGCCTCTTCCAACATCTCCGCGGTTAAAATTCAAACTAACGTTGAAGTTATAACCATCTGGTATCTTGCCCGTGAAATTGTTGCTAGATAGGTCGATTGTTCGGATAGCTTCAAATGTGAACAGCCAACTAGGTAGAGCTCCATAGAACTTGTTGTGGGAAAGCGAGAGAAACTTGAGATTTGACCATTTGGTTATTGCATCACTCAAAGAACCTGATAGTTTATTACAGCTCAGATCAACAACTTCCAGTGACTTGCATCCGGCCAAGGTAAGAGGGATCTCCCCAGAAATTTCATTGTTGCTCAGAGACAATATTCTCAAACTATCCAACGCATCAAGCTCTGGTTGAATTTCCCCAGAAAGATTGTTATTGTCCAGCTTCAATGCTAGCAACTGAAAACAACCAACAATGTTCAAAGGAATCGAGCCCGTCAACATGTTGTGCGACAGATCTATCACTTGAAGATATGTCAAGTTCCAATCCTCTCCGGTATCTCACCTGTGAGAAGATTATGGGAGAGAAACAAAGCCTGCAAGCTTCTCAATTCAGTTACTGTTGTAGGAATATCACCGGTGAACTGATTGTGCGACAAATCGACAAGTAAAAGCCCGGACTTGTCAGGGGTCTGGACAACATTTCTAGGAAGATATCCTGCTAATTTATTGAAACTCAAGTCCAAAACAACTAACTTGTCGGAAAAAACTAATCTTGGGGAAATCCCGTACTGCAATTGATTCAAGGACAAGTTTAGGTGTGTCAATTGATGACAGGCAGAAATGCAAGACGGTATTCCACCAACGATGGAGTTATTTGCTAGATTAAGCACGGAGAGGGATTGGAAAGATGAGAAGAAACATGGGAGGGTACCAGAAAAGAGATTGTGTTGGAGGTTAATAGTGACAAATGATGCACGAAAATCACCAATATTGCCGGACAAATAATTGTGGGACAAATCCAGGTACTTGAGTGATGTGGAGAAATACAAGCTGATAGGTATATCACGGGTAAAAGAGTTGAAACCCAAATCAAGTTTTTCAAGATTCAATGAGAAATTACCTATCCAGAAGGGGATTTCATGAGTGAACATGTTATGGCTGAGATCTAGCTCGGTAAGCCGGTTGGACATACAAAGTGCTTGAGGGAAAGAACCAGAAAAGACGTTATAGCTAACATCAAATGTTTTAAGGTTGTGAAGAAGATTGAAGCAAAAGGGAAGAGAGCCATGGAAAGCATTGCGTGATAAAATGAGGGTTTCAAGAAAGGGGAGGTGGCATAAAGAGGGGTGAATTTGGCCGGACAAGTTGAGGGAAGTGAGGTTGAGGGAGGTGAGCCGGCCGGTCAGGTTGGAGATGGTAAGGCCGGTCCATGTGGAACCAACAACATCATCCCAGCTTGACAAGCTTTGAAACGGGTCTTGAAGACCAGACTTGAACTCCAAAAGAGAAGCTCTGTCTCTTGGGTTTAAAAGGGCCGGGGGAGCGGGAGCAGCAGCAAATGTACAAGGTTGGGTTATAACAGAAAGTAATAGAACAGAAAGTAACGCCGGCAGTAGTTGAAGTGAATTGGAGCTTATCATCACTGCTATAAATTATATATAATTACCTCCTCTCTATCTTCAGTGCTAGGTTCAAAAGAATCGCTAGATAATAGCTCTGGGAAACGAATCAAGGAATATTAATCAGTACCTGGAATCACAACTTAGCTTGAGCCAGCAAACTTTGGTCTGTTGTGCTGTTGGGAAAGACAAGGATCGGAGTTCTCCCTCTCTCTCTCTCTCTCTCAACCAGACCAAACATTCTTTCTTCTTCTTTCAAATTTCAATTCTTGCCTTTCTAGAGGGGTGGGGACCGCCCGGGGAGAACAAAAATATTATCTCTAAATTTTATATATAAAGGAATACTGCATAAAGCAATTAAAGCAAAACATTATAGGAAACCGTGTGTTAAAGTGAAGCTCCACTAATTGCCACTTTGATTTTTCTACCTTTTAAAAATTAATAATTATTTTGCTGGAGCTGCCACATGATCCAGTGTGCGTGGGACCTGGAGAGGGTTGATGGGTCGGATCTTCTGAAATGGGTCAGCCCATCAGCCGTGAATATGGGCCATGCAAATCAACATTTTCGGCCTGATTTAACATTAAAAAAAATATGCTGGAGGCCCAACTGAATTGGCAAAAATACACCTGGTGAAGCAAAGGACTCTTTAAACTAGCTAGTATATATATAGGGTTGTTTTTGCAAAAACTACCATTTTGAAATCTCTAATTGCCGAAAACACCCCTATGTTAGAAAATTAGCAAGGACCCCTTACGTAAGTTAGTCATAGCCAAAAAGGCCCCTGACAGATTATCGTGCACTACACTCATCGTATGTGCGTCTGGGAGTTCGTTTTTGTAGCTGAAATGACTTAAATACCTTTTATATTAGATGTTTTAAAAATTACAGATTCACCCCAAAATTCTAGCACCAGAATGAAGTTTTCAAAAATTTGAACTAAGTCCTTCCAACTTTCAAAAAGGCCATCTTTCCAAACCAACTCTAAGAAAATAGAGCCTTAAGTCTCTTTTTTTCATGTAAAATATTGAAAGAAAAAACTTCGATTTTGACCTATTCTCGATAGCCCAAAACTTGGAATTCACCATTCTTGATAACCCAAAGCTCACTGCTGATGGAAAAGAAGATGACCCCCTGGGGCAGCGGCGGAAGCTAGGAAGAAGATGAATGTAATGTTTGTTGTTTCTTTAAGGAAAAATTTGACAGAATTTATTGGGTTTGGTGGTGTCTGGTGTTTTTTTTTGGCATAATTTGTTAGATTTAGTGGTGTATGGTGTTTTTTTAGGCAGAATTTGTTGTGGGAAGATGAGTAAAACGGAAGGAAAAATCAACTGGTTTCAAATTAAGTGGTGGTGCCGAGAAACGGACGGTCCGTTAATAGTACAAAAATGGACTCCACTCATATGAAGACACGTGGACAAAAATAATGAACAATCTAGCTCTCTAATGGGAACCATTAAAGTATTTCATTTGGACCGGTAAAAGACAAGTGCTTCTCTCTTTTTATTTTTTATTTTTTTATTTGCAAAATAAAACATTTAATTCCTAACATTGATGATCTTTTCATAAATTTTGATATTGGTTTTAATAAATATAATAAATATAATGCAAAATAATGCCCTTTATTAAAATATGTATTAACTTTAATAAATATTAAAATTTATATAAATTAGTGTATAATAATAATGAGTAGTATAAAAATTAATCTTAAAATCGCTTGAAAAGCATTTTGATTTTATTTCTAGTACATAAAATTAATATATATATATATATATATATATATATATATATATATATATATATATATATTTTGTCTTGCAAATAATGTTCTTCTCTTGAATTTGAGATGATATTTTTTTCATTTTGTTTATGTTAATATATATTATATCATATATATGATATCATATATATTATATCCATTATTATGGGATTTGATTAGATATGTTAATATTCTATATCCATAATTTAGGGATTTGATTTGATTAGGTTTCCTTGTATAGCTTGTTATTTTGTGTATATATACCCTCACCTCTATTGAGAAGAATACACATTATTTTCATCTCAATTCTTTTCGTAACATGGCATCAGAGCCAACTTCAAACCAAATTAAAATTTTGGTTCTTCTGTCGTAACATCCACAACCGGCGTTGTGTTCATATTCTGTCACCACCGTCGCCCTATCGTGAACATCGACGGAGTGGTCCTAGAGTTATTTTCAAAAAAAAAAAAAAAAAAAAAAAAAAAAATTCCTTTTCAATGGCTCTTTCCGATGTCACTCAACCAATTCCCACAATTCTCGATGGTAAAAATTACTCCCTGTGGATCCAAGGAATGCGTGGTTTTCTCAAAGGGCGTAAATTATGGCGGATCGTTACTGGAGATATCAAAGCACCCACTAAACCAGATCCAAAAGATACTGATGCTATTGAAAAATGGCAAGGTGCTTTAGAAGATTGGGATAGTAAGAATCATCAAATCATCACTTGGTTTCGTAACACGTCTATTTCCTCAATTCATCAACAATTTGGTCGTTATGAGACAGCTAAAGACGTTTGGGATATGCTTGCCACTCGTTATGTCACTACTAGCTTATCTCATCAGTATCATCTATTCACTGATCTGCATCAACTCAAGCAAGCGCCTGGTCAGTCCATCACGGAGTTTCATAATCAAATGCAAATTATCTGGGACCAACTCGCAGAATGTGAACCAAAATG